TCTTTAAATTTATAGATACTCTCCAAATGAATATGCTCTTTAAAAATAGAGAATCTATTGGAGATACTCTTAATTTTGAAGTATTTCACCAAACTCTTTATATTTAATACTTAATTTTACTACTCCCAAAAATATTCATTATTTTTCTTTATCTTTTATTTTAACTAACTTTTCTTTAGATTATTTTATTGTTTTCCTATATTGAAAATTGAAACACTTTAAATATTTTTTCTTTATCTTTTATTTTAACTAACTTTTCTTTAGATTATTTTATTTTTTTTCTATATTGAAAATTGAAACACTTTGAATGCATTGGAGAGTCAAACTCACTCTCTAAATTAAAATGTTAATTTAAAGAGTCTCTTAAAATATGATTTTAAATGTTGACTTTTTAAAATAGAGAGCTTCTCATATTTAAAGAGTCTCTCGGAAATATTCTTATAGGATTTAAAAGTTGACTAATATAAAAATTTATCTTTCTAATTTCTTAAATTTCGAATCAGATATCTGATAACATAGCGAATCGGATATTCGATAACATAGCGAATCAGATATAGATTTAACAATCAAATATTCGTTGGATTATCGGATCATATCGGATAATTATTCTTATTGGATCGGATTGGGGCAAATCGGATTCATTCACAGCCCCAGGTGTATTTCCTGATAGTCAGAATTTAGTGGAAAGTTCTGAATAATCTCCCTAAATGATCTCTCTGCTTTATGTTGAAATAGACTAAATAGTGGTATTCTCAAAGCAATACTCACGCCAGGGTGGTTTAAATTTAGGGATCCAACTGGATATTTTACCAAAGCTGTATTTTTCATGTTAAGAAAAAATTAAGATTACTTTCTCACCGAATAATTTTTTTTCTTGAAAATTAGATGACCAATAAGAAGCCAGGTGCCAAAAACTGCATATTTAGCAGTAAAATTATACTACTCAATTGATTGTGAATATGTCTAATCGATGTTCTTTTCAATTGGAGGATTATATAAATGTGAGTGGTGAATATCCTGGAAAGATTTCACACGTACAACTTCTACTTTTAGCCTCAGTTTGAGTCACATTAAAATTTTCATTTTCTTACTTATTTTCAATCACACGTTTTTCAATAAAATAATATTTTCTATCACATCAATAACTTTTTTTTCAACCACACATTCTCCATCAATCTATTATTTCAAAATACATTCTTCCAAAATAATGTGGCTCAAACAATGTCAATATCAAATATGGGTGTGCTTCCTAATATTTTGTTTATCACAAGAAAATATATATTTACGTTTAAAAAATTTATAAAGTATTTGATACAAACAATCAATTCA